TTCAATATACAGGTATTAAATGCATTGTGTAAGCGAAACTAAACTCAGTAAATTAGAGTATATGGTTCAGTATCATAAATTTAATTAAAATTAAAACAGTTACCAATAGGTAAGAAAAACAAACTAACGTTTATTCAAGGTGATATTGATGCGAAGTTACATTACGGATAGTGCTATGATAATAACAATATTCATTTTTAATATTAGGAGGTGGCTTGTTAACATAATTAACAGAAGTTCCACAAAAAATAACATACCTTTAAATTAATTAACAAGGGGAGGTAGCAACCTTACAAGATTAAAATGAAATTATCTCTTCGAACACGGAAATCTTGAAATACATGTTGTTTTGTTTTTGCAGAGGATCACAGACTTCAACATTCAGGGGAAAAACTGGCATTCAGCAAATCTGTGGGAATAAAAGAAAGGGGTAAGCAAAATGAAATCAACTAAGGAAAGGCATCAAAAGACGAGGTCAGACTCCAATTTTTCGTCCTGGACAGCAATTCCATCAGGATGGTTCCAAACTTCTAACTTTCAATATGCCATTTTCTGTGTGGATGACGTCTCAAGACTTCCTTATCAGCAAACAGTTTCAAATTTCGGTGTCCGTCCGCTTCTCTGAAGCTCTCTCAGGTCAGCCATGAAGATCATAGAAGTAGGTAGCATATTTTCGAAATTCGGACCGCCGTTGCTACTCTCCAAGCTGTTCAGTTGAGGTGCACGTTCTCCTTCGCAGCTCGCTCTCCTTCCAACTACGCAGCAACTCTTTTTTGTACACTGGCGAGATCTTGAATAATTGGCGAAGTATGAGATGTCCAAAATCGCCGAGAACGGCAGCCCCAACCGAAGAAACAGAGAAATCTTCAAGGGAAGGATTTCCTCGACTACCAGAAATTGACAACCATCGCGGTTCAACAAATGCAGCCTTCCAAAGCCACGGCGCGAGGTCAAATACCCCTCTGCTGGAAGAAAAGGGGGAAAGCATTAGCCTCTCTCGGGGTCTGTATCTAGTATAGCTAGCAACTGACGAATCTTCACCTTCGTAAACAATCTCCCCGCTGAACATTTCTATGCTAAAGATGCCTGAGCAAACAGAGTGCAGAATATGCAAAACAGCACACATGGTAAAGTACTTGACAAAAGAATTCGGGGCACAGTAGTCCCCAGATAAGGAATTCTGAGAAACGAATTCCAAGCCGACAAATTTTGGATGGAAAAATTACTGAACCAGTGAATAGCTTTCAACACAATAAACAAATTTAATACTGTAAAAGTCAAAACTATTATTTAGCAATTAAATTCAGTTACTGAAATGCACACGTTATAAGTTGTTTCTTCAAAAGAAATAAGTATACATATTCATTTTCAAGATTGAATTTCTTTTTACAACCTTACCACCAGAAAATATGAATTCGAGAAACTTTAATAGATAGAGGGGTAAAAAAATTAAGTTACCTTAATAAACATTAAAATTAACACACCAAAAGTGCAGTAACAAAATATTAAAATAATTAACGTTAAAAGTTAACAACCTTAAGGGTCAGAAACAAAGAAGTACGAAAATCAAGTAAAACTTAAGTTCCTAAACTCAAATTAAAATTAAACATCATCAAAAAAAACATAAATTTAAAGTTTACAAAAGTTACTGTTTAAACTTACAACGAACTTTAAACAAACTAAAGCAAAAATTAATGACTTTAATTGGATCAAAACTGAATAAGGGCACTTAACTTAAAGCTTGAAAATAATAATAATTAATACCTAACAGTTTAATTATATTCTCTCACACAATATTATTCATCTGCGTGTTTTAATTATTCTGTCTCTTCTACCAAAGAAAATTCTAAATCATGTTTATCTACATTTTCTATTGTATATACAAATGCTACCATTCGAGGTTGATACATAAATTTTAAATGGCTTATAAATTACAAAACCCACAATTTGTGATTTATTAGTTTTATAGTATGCAGATAGAAACTACTAGCCAACGTTAGTTAAGGATATATTCATGAGGGGTCGGGCAATTTCCATAATCAGCAGGAGCATTCTTATTTTCTTTTCCATTTCATTTTTGAATTAAACTTTAAATCTAGTCTTCAAAATTAATCTTCGCAATCCCAAATATTCGATTTGCAAATCGTTTCACATTCAATTTAGACATGTTAATATTTTTAAAATACTGGTTGGTCTTAACGAGTTATTTGTTACGCTGCTGTCCACCCAAACTGCAACACCAAGAAAGACAAGATATATCACAACAAAGTTTATTTAGTAGATTAGTTAGTAGTACTTGTTGACTAAGTATCAAATGATTAAATTTATAGACTTCTGTGAAGTGTGGTTCCTTCCAGAATCAGTAGCCAGAGTAGCCGCCATTGTTGGAGATCACTGCTGCCACATACCTCGGCATTGATTCAGAGACTTTGGATGTGTTCATGGGGTACAGCAGACCAAGCAGCTTCTACATGTTGCCAAAGTTGATCTGGTGCAGCAGCTTGGAATGCACCCCCGTAATTAATGGGTCAATTCGTTCAGAAACCATAGACCACATGTTTTCTATTGGCGAAAGATCCAGAGAGCGAGCCGGCCAGAGAAGCAATTCAATCTGGCTAGAAGAACACTTGGACAATGCGTGCCACGTGTGGTCGCGCATTATCCTGGTTGAAATATGGCTGTGGCAAGTCATCAAGGTAAGGAAGGACAACTGGCTCCAACACCTCGGAGATGTAGCGCTGGCTGTTTAAAGTACCAACAATGCGTATTAGATGAGTGCGAGAGTGATACCCAATACCGCCCCATACCCTAATACCCGGTGTAGGACCAGTGTGGCGGTGCATAACACAGCTGTTCAGCATCTTCTCTCCACGGTATCTCCAGACTCGAATCCGACCATTGTGGTGTTGCAGAGAGAAGCGTGACTCGTCATTAAAGACAATTTCATTCCATTCTGCCATCCACATCCTTCTTTCATCGCACCATTGGCGGCGAAGACGTCTGTGGTTCTGCGTCAAGGGTAGACGAAGCAATGGACGTCTTCAGGACAGACAACTCTGCTGTAAACGGCGTCGAATGGTACCCGCAGACACTGGATGATGCGTTACAGACTAAATGTGCTGTGCTATGGTTCGTGATGTGACTGAGCGATCCGTCACTGCCATGCGCACAATGTTCCTGTCATCACGTGAAGTGGTGCACTGAGGTGGATGCGATCGAACACGTCGGTCCGTCGTACCCTCCTGCATCCAACTGTCACATATCGACATTATAGTTGTTTGATTTCGTCCAACACCACTACCGATCTCCCTGGAAGATAATCCACACTCCCGGTAGGCCACTATCCTTCCTCTGTCGAACTCGGATACTTGATCAAACGATGATCGCTGTTTACTACGAGGCATAATTGATCGTTTTTTTTTTTGAAAAAAAAATAATAATAATAAAAAAATAAAAAACAAGATAAACACACTTGCCGAACTTGAAATCGTCGAACACTCCAAGTCTTAAATAGCGCTTTAAGTGGCGCCAAAGGCACGCGTGATGTGCGTCTGCGCTGAAATTCTAATCATTTGCATATATCATCTCCGCTATTGCATGTTGTAAATTTCATGTTATTTGCATGCTTCCTTCAGGCCGTTGCATTTACGGTGGCCAGCAGTGTATAAACGATGGTTCATTTTCAACCGAAGCAATTTTTACTTATATTTTTCCTTTTTAGCCCAAAGGGAGTTAGCCCAGAAGAGCTATTAATCTCAAAATGACATTTTACGTTGAATCACTAAAATCGCTGAATGACTTTTCAAATTGTTGCCACCAGATATTATCTCCTTGTAATATATTTAAAGAAATAAGACAATGAAGAATCTCCGTGAATGTCATTTGTGTTTCTCGCATTGTGAAAAACAGCATTACCTAAAGCCATCAAATTTTGAATAACGTAGTCTTCCACCCTGATATGGTCCCTTGGAAGCCCGAATTTAGGATCTGTGCATTTCATATTTTGTAAAATTTTAATGGATATTTGACTAAAAATCTCAACGATTTGAAAACGAGCAATGGCAACGCTCTACGGAAAAAATACAATTGTATCTCCAGCGGATTTTATCTCCAGACTGTCTGTCAGAAATTCTAAAGATATACTGTTTTTAAATATTTTACTGTGTTTTTCAAATTCTGTAAAACTTTAATGAATTTTTAACTAACGAACTTATTTTAAAGCGAGCAATGGCAACACCGTAAGAGAAAAAAACATTTCCTCTCCAGCGCGCGAAGCTGTCTATCGGAAGTTCAATGGATAAGCTGCTTTTAAATATTTTAACCCAAAGGGACATTAGCCCAAATACTCTCGAAGCGTGTATGTGTATGAAAATGAGAAAAAGGCACCTTTGGGCGTAATATAAAATCTGAAAGCTTATTAGAATATTTTATTTTTTGTACCATGCGCTTTAGAAACTTTGCGTATCAATGATTTATGAACTGTACTGTGATGATCTATGTACTCACGTTTCTAAACATACACATTCTGTTTTACAGATATAATAATATAAAGTTCATCACTACAAATTGGCAAACTTTTTCATTTTCATTCATTGAACTGTCATTTTCGAATTAAAGGTGACCGATTTAATAATCTCAAAAACAGAATCAACTGCTACGGCTGCACATGAATGTCTTGTCATATGTTGCCTGCTATACAGGCAAGATATAACGAATTAATACCAAAATTAAGATATTTCGGTGGTCGTGAGAAAAGGAATTCGATACAGTCACATTAAATGTATTATAGTGCGGTTGAAGCATTAAAGAGCCCATTACAGTTCATAGAAATAGTAGTCACTTTGAGAAGTATTTGTCGGCAGGAGGTGGATACTATAAAAGAGTTCACTTAATTTCGTTTTTAATATACTGTACTCAGTTTTAAAATAGTACTACTTATATTGAGTTTTAAAATCTATCGTTATTGCATTAAATGTCACTGCATCTTTTCTTTTTTTCAGAAATTCCGATGACGAAGGCAGTTCTAGTGGAGAGAAACATTGTTTCCAAGGTGGCAACACGACAGATAGTCACGAAATGTCCGAAGCAGAGTGTGATCGTGATTACCACCAACATATGAGGAAAGGTAATTATAAAATATCCCATACTTGTTTGGCAAAATGGCAATCTAAAGATAGCCGCTAAGTAGCTAACAGACAGAAAACTATATTAAGTTTAATCCTTTTATTTTCGATATATTCATACAGATAATAATTCATGTGATTTTGAATACGTATTTTAGTTTAAGTGTTATTGAAGTTCAGAATTCAATGCTAGTAACCCTTTCATGGTTATGAGCTACTATGTAGCTATTGACTTATTGAGACACGGAGGGACATCTTAATCTTTTAGGAGAATTTGCTTTAAGAAACTTGTTAGCTTTTTTTATTTTATTTTTCTAAAACACATTGCCAGTTTAAGCTCAGTGTAGATGGTTCGTTGTGGTGTTGTGACTAAACTCACACGTCTGACCTATTAAGAACAGGCCCACGAATTTTATCGTGGCAAGCAATACAAGAATACGTCTATAGTTGGCAGTAAAACGTGAACACCATACATGTGACAATCCGACTTTGCTCAGTCCTGTCTCAGTTTTGAGAGAGAGCATCCTGCGGAGTGGTTCCTAGATACTCCCACTCCTGTTCCTCTACCATCAACCACTCGATATGACTTTCGGCTGGCCGTGTATTTTGAATGCCCACATGCCGCGCAGACACTATACATTTTAACCCGGGGCCTTCGGTACGACAGTCGGCGTCACTAACCACTTTTCCGTCTAAGCAGCAGAGTAGATGGCAGTGTACATATCATAATCATTTCTAACTTAAATTACACTACACTACTCGATGAATCAATATATATATATATATATATATATATAAATTTTGCATGGTTGTGTGTTTGTTGTTCTCGATAAACTCAGTCACTACTACAGCTATCGTCAGCAAACTTTCTACAATTCTTTTCTGGGTCTTGGAAAAGGTCGGAGTCCACTTTTTCTTAAAATTTTTTTAAAGTAGTAAAGTAGCTAAAGTCATAGATATGAATTACCACTCTGAAAACGCAAATTTTCGCCCTCATTTTTCCGAGTGGTAACAGTCTCACATGCTAGAGATAAAAAGCTGCTTTATTTCGAGAAGTGTTGTCACTGCTTGCTTTCAGATCATACAGTTTGTTAATAAAAAATTTGCAAGTTTTACAATGAAATAAAAATAGCATTGCCAAACAATAAAAACATTATTCCCGATTCGAAGAATTCGTAGGAAGCCATTTCGACTGTTCCCATCTTCGTACAACTTTTCGACCGAGGTATTAATTAAAAACACTGAAAACACTAATTTCCGTATTAATTTTTTTGAGTGGCAACAGTCTTGCGCGTTGAAGATAAAAATGCTTTATTTCCAAAAAGTGTTGCTACTGCTTGCTCGCTTTCAAATCGTATAGTTTGTTAATCAAAAATTTGTAGTTTTTTTAAATCTGTATGTATAAAGAAGGATATCTATGTGTTTGTTTGTTCGCCTTATTGATTTCCGATCAATAATGATAAATTGTTTTGTTGCATTTAATCGACTAAAATTGAATATAAGTGAATAGTGGATGGAACTTCAGCTTTTGCGACGATTTGATTTGAAAAATGAAAATCATTAAAAGCTGAGGGGCATTGTTGCTGATATAATGAGAGAAAATTAGTTTATTTTTCTATCGACATTTTTTATGTGAGTTCCATATCGCATCAGATTAGAAAATGTATGGCTATGAATCGTATGTTTCGTACCGTTATTAGAGAAGGATTACAGCGGTATAGCTTTCAATCTAACGTAACTGGCATCAGGTACTTGCTTCCGCTAGTATTATTACACACACTGGCCAATGAATTTGAAACCGCGGATAGCGCTGTGTACCTAATTTTAAACAATCTTCTGAGACTAAAAAGTAAAAATATTCAACTCATCATCATTGGATTCACAGATTTACGCCCGGAGAATACCATGCATTGGCTATGCAGCTTTTAACTTTTTAGATCTTATAAAGTAGATGGAAGAGGAAAGTGCTGTTAGATGCGTTCTTTCACCATGTCCCGCACATTTTCTATGTAGTTAAGATCCAGGCTATGCGGTGGCCGGGTAAGGTGGTGGAAGTCAGGCTGATGTTCATTGATCCAATTTTCAACATTTCTGACACTGTGTATAGTTGCATCATCGTTCATGAAGTATCCTTCGCCATCAGGCTAAAAATGCAATATTGCAGGGTGCACTTGATCTGACAAGTATATCTAGGTATTTCATGGCTGTTGTCTATCCTCGAGGCATCACTTTCATGCCAGCACTTCTATGGGGGCACCACTTCTTTGCCAGCAGAACATACACCATATTATGATACTCCCAACAAACCTTTGCAGAATGCGAGTCAGGTAAGATAGCTTCATGGGGTTCTCGGCAAATTCGACGTCTTCCATCAGTGCCAAATAAAGTGCAGCGTGATTCATCCAACCACATTACCCGTTTCCAATCCTTAGATGTCTAGTGTCGCTTTTTCCGCCACAGCTGCAAACGAGTTCTTGCAAACGTCGGGCAGAAATGTGTGGCTTTCTCACAAGCACCCGACTATGCATTCCTATCCTCTGCAATTATCTGACCATGGTTCGAGCTAAAATCGGTTGGGAAGAGACTTGGTTGACGATTTATGTCAACTGAAGTACAGCAGAGTCCTGGTTTCATACAATTCGTTGGAGACGACGCCGATCATTCTTTTGGAAAAGGGGTGCTCGATCCACAGTTACGTCTTCTAGAGAAGGACTGTGGGTTCTGATTTCGACTTTTGAAAACCTTTGCTAAACGGGCACCAACATTAATACCTTTTTCAAATGGCGAAGGATCTGTCGTTTTCCCCATTCCACTTCATTCATCATGAAAAGCACTCTAACACCTTACATATACTAGCATTCTAACTATGTGGAACCCACCTGATAAAAAATTTGCATACTTCATCCCTAGCACGCATTCAAATGAAAATATCAAAGCTTTCTAATTTATTGGCCATTGTGTGTGTAAACAGTACTTTTTCAGCAGTTATACACTTATTCCAAATATGAAGTCTTTATGTTATCATTTATTCGTACTGTAAAATGTTCATATTATCAAATGGGATGATTATCTTGGCATTTGTACGTATTGTAAGTGGAGCAAATTCTGATACACAAAGATTCGAAATGGAAATGTTATCTTAAAGAAAATTAATTCCATTTGGTTTCATTAACACTAGTGACATTCTAAAGACTCACAGTCCGACAGTTGTGTTACTTCCTTTGGGGAAGAAATCAGATGAGATTTAAGAAGCAGATCGTTAAGTCTTATATTGCATTTTTAGAATACTAAATTTCATTTTGCGAATCTGGAAAATAAACTGCAGAATTTCATTAACTGTGAAGATCTAAACTACATACTTCGAAATTGTGTTATAATGCAGAAGTTATTTAACTGTTAGTATAATTATTCTAACTGTTATAAACAGCCCAAGCTTATACATCCTCATTCGTCGTGAGTAATCTGTTTATAAATAGTCTGCAGTGAGTAATCTGTTTCAAGACCGCCTATGCTTTTGTGCGTTAACATTTGTGCGTTTAGTGGAAATACAGACTTTATACACTCTGCAAAAAGTTAAGATAATTTTAATATTTGATCTTCGTACTCCAGAAAAACCGGACAGATTTTAATAAAATTTGGTGTGAACATAAGTTGATATAATACAAGCAAAATAAACATTCAACAGTTATACACATATTCGTGTGTGACACTAATGGGAGTCTGAAGATCTGAAACAACGGTTGCAGAAGACACAAACGAAATGGGTTAATAGGGGGTATGGCCCCCTTACAGCCATACAGGCCTCGCAGCGTGATGCCATACTGGAAATAAGGCAGTTTATAAGTGCCTGTGGCAATTGGTCCCACTCAGTCAGCAACGCTGTTTTCAGTTCCTGGATGGTTCTCGGAGGGAGGTTGCGAGTTGCAGATGCCCTCCCCAGAGCATCCCAGACATGCTCTATTGGGCTGAGGTCTGGAGACCTGACTAGCCAATCCATCCGGCGAATATCCTCCCTCTCGAGAAATTCGTCGACCAGAAGAGCTCTATGTGGCCTCGCGTTATCGTACTGTCAAGATGAACTCGGGGCCCACTGCACCCCAAAAAAGGCGAACATAGGGCTCCAAGACCTCATCTCTATACCTCAGCACAAGTAACAGAGCTTCTGTCAAAGACATAGAGAGGTGTGTAGCCATCCAACATGATGCCTGCTCAGACCATTACACCGCCACCGACATAATTGGTGATTTCGCCGACACTGGAGGGTGGGTCCCTGGCTCTCTCCATATGAAAATACGGCTAGAATCGGCGCTTAGGCTAAAACGGGACTCTTCACGGTAGCTCATTGTTCCGTACTCCAATCACTATGCTGCCTGCACCATGCTAAACTGACTCTCCTGTTCGTAGACGTTAGCGGAACGCAAACAGCCGGTCTTCTGGCAAACAACCCTCTCTCATTAAGTCTTTTGGAAACAGTCACCCTTGTTACACGGGTGCATGTGTCTGCATGCAGGTCCCGAGAGAGCTCAGAAGCTGTAGCCCCTCTGTTACGCCTCTCTAAAATGGACAAATAGCGATATTCTCTGGCCGTCGTGGCTCTTGCACAACCTTGCCCAGACTTTCTGTCGATGGATCCGGTATCCTGGAACTGTTTCCATAGGTTACACACGACGCCGGGCGTAAAATTACACTCTTTACATATCTGGACTTGCGAATGGCCTGCCTCTAGCCGCCCCACAATTCGCCACCTCATTCCATCATCTAAACGTTGGTGGTTACTCATTTTTACTGTTCCGACGTGAATTTATCCGATTGCTGCAAGATAACACCAAGAAATTCACCTAGGTGTGCTAGCGAACGCAATTCGTCTTACCCTCCACGCGCTTATAAAGCCTGTTTTTCTGCTGGCTCCGCCTACGCACATGTGTACGCTTACGTATTTGCCGTACAAGATTTGCACTTTTATCTAGAAGTACTGGTTTTTCCTTTAGTTTGGTTCTTTTCA